TGTGTGTTTTGTCATTGCATTGGTTGGTGTGTAGACTATGAAATAGTGATTATTTTTCTAGTGGCAATATTTTTGCCTACAGTGTACTACAGGTAAATTTACCCAAAAAGTGTTAGTCATCCTCACATTCAGTATCTGTTCAAAATACTGGCTTCATTACTTCTTTGATGCTGTCTCAGTAGCATTAACTATTTTTCTGCTGTCATGAAATGCAAGGATGTGTTTAAAATTTTTCTGTTTTAGATTGAAACTCTTGTATAGCAGTAAAAGCATAGCTTCTTTTAATACTAGTCAAATAGTTATGACTGACATTTTTTTCACAATAATTTAAGTTACATATGTAGAAATAGGCTTGTAATAGGGATCACACCTGATGTTTCTATTGTATGTTTGATTGATTCTTACAACCTTCTGGATTTTTTCATTAGGCGTTATTATTTTTAGCTCTATCCCATGTTTGACATTGGCTTAGTAACAAGTTGCTTACATGTTCCTGTCTACATCTCTAAATGTTGCTTTACTACAAAAAGTCCTAGAAAGTATTTTGAGTTTTTGGGATGAATTTACCAAAAAAAATGGAATACTTAACATTTCAGTCTGCTACATGAAGAAGTAATTAAAATAAACACAAGACCTAAATAGCATAGTTTTTTCTTTCATCATCTTGTGTTTTTTGAGTTGTTGGTGACATTGCATAGAACAGAAGTTCTGTCAAAACCTTCAGCATAGAATTTTACCCACAGTGGAGATTACCTTCAGATTCCAGAATTAAATTGTATTCTTGTATCATGTAATTGATGTTGTGTACAGAATGAGGTGGGGTTATATGATCATCCTGCATAGCATTTGTAACACCAATTTTTAACTTCAAAGGCTGAACTTGAATCATTTCAGGTGTAGCCAGATGATCCTCACAAGTTATAAGTAAATAGAGTGTAACTGGTCTTTCAAAGTAAGATGATTTTTGCTCATGGCATGCTGTTAGTATTCTTGGTTCAATAACAGTGCAGCCAACTTGCAGCAAGTAAACATAGAAGAGGCAGAAAAATGTCATCACCTCTTAAGAGGAATCAGAAAGTAGAAAGACTGCATTCTGACAAAAGAGAGAAGTTTAAATGTTTAAACAGAACTATTACAGCAAATGAAACATTGTTTACATAATGGAGCAGAAATTGTTCTGTGATTAATGCAACTGACAGCACATAACCTATAACAGAAATCCTGCACTGAAATCATGCTAATTGAAACAACTGTCATTTCATAGTGAAATGACATAAAATGATACCAAAAGAGTTCACACCGAAATATACAAAACTCAATCATAGTACATTTTAGCTAATATACAATTTATAATTTTTTGGAAATACCTTTCATTCTTTTGGGCTACATACAATTCCTGTAGAATGGGAGGCATCAAAAGATATTACATTTTTCTTATCAATTAATCTAGAAACCTTCAAGAGAAACTGACCAGAGGCTTTCAAACCAAATTTTCAAGGGAGTACAAACTTTCAGCCAGGTGAGGAGATAGAGCAGTTATTTGCTAATTCAGTTGAATCTCTGGGAATATTTTCTACCTTCCTTATATATACTTTTGTATGTTAGCATTCAGAAAACTTTGTACATCAGAATGTATGTATTGTATCCAAAGTTGTATATGCTATATGGGAAATAGCACTCCACCCTGCAATTTCTCTCTTGTTGAATAAATTCATATTCTTTTCAACTTAAAAATAATCTTGTATTAGATGCTGACTTTCATTTTAATTTAATTTTTATTCATAACAAAAAAAGTGTTTAAGGTTCTTTTTGTAAAAGAAAATCATCATTTTCTTTAGAATTCTTGATTTTCTTTATTTTTTTCAGAGGGAGAGTTTAGATTAAACGCAGAAATTTATTTAATGGTGTGAAGTGCCTACAGGCTTGCAACCTATAATTTAATGTTTTATTCATAGTTTTCTTCAATAATTATAGTTATTTATTGATCTTCACACAAATCTTTCCAATATAACTTTGAATTTAAAGTTAATGACATGAATTTTTCTCTTCTGGAGATTTAGGATCTGCTTTTGAGTTGTGAAACCGGGCATGTATGTGCAATTCACAGTCTGCCAGTTTTTGTAGAGTGCTCAGTTAAATGAATTATTTAATACTTTTCCTTCTTCTATTTCTGTTTGCCAGAACTGTTTCCTTTCTGTAGATACAGTAATGCCCTTGATTTGCTTTTCATACGTAGACTAGCTTAGATGCTGTTTTTGTGAGCTTCTTAAAGCTGAGTGATGAACTAAATGAAGATGAAATTTAAACATAAGAAACTCACTTTATAGTTTAACGTGTTCTGCATTTTCCACTGGATTTTCCTCTGGCCAAACCAGACAGTGTTCTGGAGCAGGCAATGGACCAGTGCCATCTCATATTCACATGGCAGAGCTTTTCTGCACCTCCTCAGCGCTCAGCGCTGCACATCTTTTCAGCAGAACTCATTTAACTAAAATGCCCTATGAATTCTTCCTTGAATCTACAGAAATGCAACCTTCTCATTTATATCCCTTTCTGATAAGAGACTGCAGCATACAAATCTGATCACTACAGCCAATTGCTCAATATTCACCAAATTGATCTCCATATAGTTTTCCTAGTATAATTTATTTTCCTTTTTGTCTTACAAATACCAGTCTGTTTCATCTCCAGATGGTATATTTCTATATAGCTCATTTTACATTATACCCTTAAAAAAGAAAACAAAACACTACAAGCAAAAGGGATATTAAATATTTTCCTGCAATGTGTATATTTTTAAGTATTCTGTTGAGTTGATTTCTCTCCCATCTAGCACATCCTAGGAACCCTAACACCTGATATCTTAACTAAAGTTATAAAGCATAATTTTGAGTTATTCTATAGAATAGAAATTACATTTTATGGGTGTTAGTTGTTAAATAACTTTCAGATATATTCAAATATTTAGTTAAAATGAATGATTAATTGGAAACATTTTTTAATTTATGCTGAGCACTCAATAATGGTACTAAAAATGTGTGTATATATATATGTCAGTCTTAGAAGATTGTCTTTGGGGTTGTGTTGGGTGAACACCAAAAAGGTGAATTTCTTTGTAATGGGCAGTAACAAATCTTCATCAATGCATCTGGTAGAAAACTATCCAGACTTCGTCTCCTCCTAGAGCCTCAGTTGAATGAGGATTCATTGAAGCAACACTAGATGATGACATTACTTGTTCACACAACAGAAAAACTGGATTGCAAGGTCTTTGTTTACCTTCACTTTGAGGGTTTTTGTTTACCTTCACTTTGAGTGTGATAGTTGAGTAAGACAGAGTGATTTGGATATTATTTCTTCCTTTCCTTTCTTTTAAATGCTTGGTTAAACAGCATGTTCCTTCAGCAGTTAGCCTTAATCACCTTTTGTAGGCAATTTTTTTTGTTAAATTCCATCTGTTTTTAAGGCTGAGCATTTGAGCATCTTGGTGAACTATTCATAGACTTGAAGACTTTAATGTGAGACCATGATGTTCATTTTCTTATGTAACACAAGGCATAATGTCTACACTGACACTGTTTCACTGTGGTCAAAAAGCTGTGCAATTACTTATAACTGTTCTGTTCAGAATAATATTGATGCTAAAATGGCTTTTCTCCACCGTATATGTATCACGCTCTTTTTTTCGTTAACGTATGGATTCTTATTTGTTAGGCATATGTTTCTTTTTCTCCTTTCTAAATATGATGATAATTAAGTTTCTTATTACTGAGATTTCAAGGCTGCTAAAGCTGAGCCAGTCAGAAAATTTAGCTTATGTACAGGGCTGTGATTTCTGTAAGTTGAGTGTGACTATTTCACTGCTATGTTTATGGAATTATTTTAGCTCTGTGAGAAGTAGATAGTTCTTCCCTGCCTTTTTTTGATGGAGAAAATTACAACATGATAAGACACTGCCATTGTGTCTCATGCAGTGAAGTGTATCTGGAGTTGGGGATTTCAATTAAATAGATATTAATTGCATTGTCATACCCACTTTCTGGTTCATGATGGGAAGTCAGAAAATGAGGGTGGAAGTCTTCCCTGACAGGAAAACAGATTAGTTAATACAGCGTGCCTTCTACATACAAATACTTTATGCAAAAATGGTAATGAAATCTAAGGCTAAGCCAAACCATATGATATGTATGTAGTGTGGAAAGGAATTTATGCTTTCCCTGAGAAAATGACTAGGGAACATAAATAACATAATTTTTGCCTGGATTAGGTGGCAATTTATAGAATGTATTTCAAAGACCTTTAACAATTGAGCAATATGGTAAAAATAGATTATCATAACAAGAGTAACTGCTCAGGATACAGATAGGCAGATATTTTTGAAATGTAAATACTATGGCACTGTTTTCTTGTTGGTTTTCTATTTGCATCAGCAAGGGAACTTCAGTGTGTGCAAAATACAACTTGTTCCTTTTTCCTTGAGAGCCTTCAAGATATACTTGAAAGTCCTTGAGATGTTTTGTTAAAATACAGCACATTCCACTTAAAATAAAATTTTTATAGGCAAAATGTCACTGCAAGCTTCACATCTGATATTTAGTCTTAACGCATACTTATAAGCAGAGCTACACGGCATCCTAAAACCACAGTTTCTTCTTGGAAGTACAGCTTTCAAAATGGATGAAACACACAAAACTGCCTAACACTGTAATTAATGTGCAAATGTGTCCAAAAAATAGTGTTGTTACATAAGGTAAGATGGAATGCAAAAACTTTATGGGATGTTTATAATATGGTATAGCAGTACAAATTTCTGCTCTTTCTCTAGATCCCAAGTTCTAAGACAAGTAGGTATGTGAGGGCTATTCACTTTTTTTATTTCATATTTGTACCCAGACTTTATAGAATGTGTGTGTGATGTTTTGCTACCTCCTGTTTTATAAGGCAGGGCAGAGCAGTAACTGCAGTGCTGTATAACGAATCTGTTTATCTTCCTGTTCCAGAGAGAAACTTTCTCTGCCCATCCAAAGCTGCATTTGCAAAGGCAACTCTGTTTTTTTCCTGGCAAATCTGTAAGTTCTCACTTCTGCATGCATTTTGATCAGCGCACACATTTCCTAAGCTCCTAATTCCGCTCACATTCCCAAAACAGTGTGTGGGGTTTTTTTGTCTGTTTGGTTTTCAGATTGTGGATAATTCAGAGCTTGCACAGACCAATATTTTGGGTGTTTGGGGATGAATTCAGAGTTTGCATCTCAGGTATAAAACCAGATGTTTATCACTGAGCCATTCCTTGGCTTTTTTTTTTTTTTTTTTTTGCTTTTTTTCCCCCCCCTTTATCTTTATAAGGCTGTTATTCCATAACACAGCAGCTACGGTTTCCCCATGCTTCTGTGAAATGCAGTGAACAATTTAAAAAGCATTGAAATAACTAGTGGCCTTGAAGATGTGAATAGGAAGAAGGCTTTCTAAAGGCCTGTGTTGTACGCTTATTTTTCACGTTTAAAAAATATTTTAAAGTATTGCTTTTAATTTCAGGTAATAAATTGTTAGGGACTGCTGGCATTCAAATTAATAGTTTCAAAAGCAAATGAGAGTTGGGTGTGGAATTTTAAGTAGAATATTTGCAACTGTCCATAACAAGGAATGTTATTCAGGTTGTAATTTTCTAGATTGAGAGAATCATGGATAGAAATCCAACATCATATTTCCTTTGGGCTCCTTTTCACGTTTTGGACTTCGAGCTTGTATTTTTTCTGCTTTGGCAATACAAATATGAGAATGGAACTGATCTATATTGGTGGCAACAGCAAGCAGACAAAATTTTTAGATTTGTTTAACCATCAGCAGAAGGGAATGTAGCTTAAAACAGTCCAACTTTTCCCAGTATTGGGGATTAATTACTAAAAATTCCTAAAAGCAAAGCAGTATTAGGAAATGTTAAATACACACAAGTGTTTTGCTGAAATGCTTTCTTCAGGCACGAACTGCAATAGCACCAGGACACACATGTATTTCATCTTTTCACCTTAATGGGAGGCTTTCAAACCAAATTATCATGTACAAGGGCCTGTAATGTTCACAGAAACATGAATGGAATAATAGACTCTGACTTAGCACAGCACTAGAATTTGAATTAGGCACTTTGGCAGAAGAGCTTTGATGACTTCTGTGACCCTTCCGCTGATGCTTTGACAAGTCTGGAATCATTCTCAACCTTACCCTGTGCTCCCTGTCTCTTAACTTCCCTATTTTGCATTTATCCTAAGGACACAGGTAGGAATAAAATGGCAAATCCATGTGTTTTATTTTGTAATACAAAACATATTTTCATACGCTTTCTGTGATACCAGCTGCCAAACAGAACTGCCAAACAGAGTTATCAAGCAGTGAGGACACATTGATTTAATTGAAATGAGTATATAGTTAAAATTAACAATGAAAAATGTGATAATCAAAAAGAAAGAAGCTAGAAATTTCTTGGAATTTTACTAATTCTATTATGAATTACAAAGTTTTAAATTTATGCTATTAACACAATTAAGATTTAATAATTTCTGCAAATAATGTGTGCACTAAAAGTAAAGTATTTTATAAATATAAATTATTTAATTGAAGAATTGTATGTATCTAATAAGGATCACTTACTCGTCAGCAAAGAAGCAGTCATCTGCAAGGCCTCTTGATTATGCAGATGTAAGATGACTGATGCTGGCAAGAATGAATTTGAGTTACTGTTTTCTATGTAAAAAAAGGAGTAGCTGTCAGTCATTGTATGATTATATTTGTCCACAAACAGCTGGATAAGTTATACTAATTTTCACTGGATGCTTCGAAATAGCTTTTGAGCAAAGTACTTGCAAGCATCCTCATATTGTTTTCTTCCCAAGCAAGTGGTGCAAGAAGGTGGTACACATGAAAGCATTTTCATTCCTAACAATAACAACAACAACAAAAAAAACCACACACAAAAAATGCTTCTCGCTCAACAGTCAGCATGTATAAATACAACCCCATTACGCATCTGCAACATCTGCTGCAGAAGTAATAATGAGTCTTTTGCAGTGCATTGCTTCTGAATGAAGAAAATGCTACATATATTCCATATGTATCCACAATAAATACATACAACATAAATACAACACATTTGTTTACCAAGCATCAGTGCAGTTCAGGTATTGCATTTCATCCAGAGCTATGTTTGATAATTCAATAGACATTATTGCATATGTAGTCAAAGTTAAAGTTCCTGAGTTTTATGTAAGAATGTATAATATATTCAAGGAGCAAAAGTTTAAATTATTGCTAGATACCAGTTATAATCAAAGCAGGAGAGGATTGCATAAATGTACATAATAATGATGCTATCATCCTTCTTTCACCTCTCTTGGTCAGGTCTGTATCTTCTTCCATGCCTCAGCATAAATTGGAGTCACTGTATCTCAGCTAAATTAAATTGTTTGTTGCCCGTACAGAATCACTGTAGAGACTGATCTGGCCTCAAAAGATCGTCCAAGTCTCTCCTATGTGTCAATGACAACTAATTCCTGAACAATATGAAGACTGTAGTTTCTGAGGATTATTGTTTCATGTCAGATAGTCATGCTGTCGTCTGTCCAGATTGTCCCTGGTGGATTACAGTATCTTTAATATGCATGCAAATTTGTCAGGTTTGTTTTTGTTTTTGTTTTATGACTTTGTTTATTTTGATTGGTTTTGTTTGTTTTCTTTTTCCTCTTGAATAATATTGCTATCTGAAGAAGCTCATTGTTTAGAGTCAGCATGGACTTAAATGATTCAGCAGTCATATTTAATAGTACTTATGATTTTCCATAAATTGAAGAAATTATAAAACCATGAAACAATTCTTAGTAAACAATTATTTGCTAGAAATCATTTTACTACATTTTGCCAAAAAAAAAAAAAAAAAAAAAAAAAAGAAAGAAAAAGAAAAGGAAAAAAACATTTTAAATTCTTAACAGACTTCTAACTGAGTAATGATAAGCCTTCATTTGTACTTTGGGCTTAGTTTATCAAATCATAATATAATGTTACATGGAAATAAAGAGGACTCATTTATTTCACTGACAGGTAGTACATAGATATTTTTAAACGTCTGTGGCAGAACAGTTACTAAATATTGAGTGGGTTCCACTTGAGAGAAAGCCATAGTGATTCATAGTACAAGCACCTGGTTATCAGTAGTTAAAATACTAGCTTTGTAGTTGTGACTAACGGATGCATCTGATTGCATGTTTGTGCAGAATACAACCAGAGCCTTTCACGGACTTTTAAAGGTTGAACTTAGTAGTAGGGCTAGATCCTCATATACAAGAAGGACAAATGTTTTACTCCAGTGGAAGATGTTTGATACTATGCAGAACAACCAGTCTAAGCCTATTTGCCTTGTGAATAGTCTTTAAAATGTTTTCTGTGGGTTTTTGTTTGAAGTATATTTTCTTGTGGACATTTGAATACATGGTGTACGCTGACACAGTTGCAGTTGAATACAGTCAGCTCACTAAAGGCATTTGGAACCCAGGCATAATTTAGAATTTAGCAATAACACTAACTTAACTGCATGCTTCTTGTTTGAAGCCCACGGATTATGAGGCAGCACATTAATTGTTATGACAACTACTGCTTGTGTGACATTGAAATCTAACTGCTCTTTTTTGTTACCAATTCTCAAAAGAATGGAGCCAGCAGATTTAAAAACTCAACTCTAAGTGCTGTTTGGTAATTTTTCTGCTTCCTGCGGAAAATATGGGAATGGATTACTCTACACCATAAAAACTAAATTTACAAAAAATGCAGACTTCTGACCACGTTCCCTATTCTTGCTGGTCTGGCAACCTCAACTAGAAGCTGACCTGCATTTTGGCTAATCAAGATGCTTTGCTTTGTCTCTGTTTTGTCTGCATACAAAAGCTCATGTCAGGAAAGCTTTCAGAGGTAATCAATCCAGAAAAAATAGATCAGAAAGAGGAAAACATTGTGGATAAATATTTCATTGCACTATGTAAGCTTGCTGTTTTAAAAAGCAAAACAAACAGCTTAGTCTGTTTTCTGTACATATTTTAATTATTCATTTATTTTGTAGACAGACAGTATGTGTGTTTTGAATGTTTCATGCAGAATTTGGGGTCATACTCGTGACCACAACATGTCTGGTAACTGTGCTTCCTCAAATGCGGTGATATGTCATCTCAGTGCATTTTTGTGCTCTGAATAGGGAATCCCTTTCTGTGAAGAATTATCATGGTTCCAGCAATTTTTACCACTTAATTGAAATTAGATGTGCCCATGGGCCTGGTGATGATTGGACTCCCCTGGCATATGCAGTCATATGCAATGTGTGTTTCCCAAGAATAAAGCAGCAGAATGCCATGCAACGTGCCCTCACAGCACTGCAGTCTGCACAACAAAAAACGTTGAATTACAGTGATGATGCCTGTGGAATAGTGGCTTGTGGTTGTCAGTTGGCTGCTCAACAAGAGAAAGATCAGATCTTCTGGCTGTATATACAGGTCTAAGTTCAGACTTCTCCTTTTCGGTGACTTAGAGGAAATTACCAGGTAGATGCATACACATTTTCCTTTTCCGTGTTTTTGTGGGATGTGTTGAACACTTTTGTGATGTTCCTACCAGTAAGTCACTGGGCATAAATAAATTCACAGTGAACTCCAGGCTTTTTTTTTTTCATGAATCTGAGATATGATTACTCTGTACTCAGCAGTGGTGAGGTCACACCTTGAATAATGTGTTCACTTTTGGGCTCCTCGCTGCAAGAAAGACACTGAGGCCCTGGAGCATGTCCAGAGAAGGGCAACAAAGCTGGTGAGGAGTCTGGAGCACAAGTCTTATGGGGAGTGGCTGAGGGAGCTGGGGTTATTCGTGCTTTCAGGTTTAATTAGAATGTCCCTGGTAGTTGTTTCAGTATTTTAAATCTTATCAAAAATTTTAAGTATATGAAAGATATACTTTACTATACTATACTACAGGAAAAGTATTTTGTTAAGAGAAAATTCAGCATAGTCAAGTACTGATTGCTGCCAATTGCAATGTGTTGCTGAAACTACAGTACATATGGAAGATTCAGTTGTGGTGTTAATAACAATCTGAAAACTAGATAGAAAATGAAAAAAATTCTGTTGCTAGGGTCAGATGATAGTCCAGATTCTATTTTTTATTTATGATTCAATCTGAATGTGGGAAGCGAGAATAAAGACATATTTTTTTCCAGCAGAATTAAGGATACCAGCCTAAGGTCTCCAGGGCAATGTTTCAGTCCTGTTGCTCAGGGGATGGGGAAGGTTCTGTATCGGGGACTTCTTTGGCTCTGTAGAGCAGCTGACTTAGCACAAGGCTTACTGCAATCTCTGAGTTGACCTAAAGAAACATAGCAAGCATCATAATTCCACCAAATCAACTCCTTTACAAGCATTTAGCAAATGCCTTAATAAGGCTTATGGAATTGTTGAAGGAATCAAGTAAGATTCTTCATAATAAAAATAAATTAGATTGTGAGAAAATTCTTGTGCTTTTTTTGGTTGCTTGCTTTGGTTTTTTTTAGAAAGACAATGCAAATCTATCTTGACTGATTGAGAGGGTAGCATCATCACAGAAGATTTGGTGGACAAGTGTAATTAAGCAGTTGTGGAGAAAACGAACACCTCACCCTTGTTTAATTAAAAGCACTCCATTACATCTCCATAAAGTTCACTTTCTCCCCCATTCCAGCTTTCAGAAACAATCAAAACCTAAGAAAACAGAAGCTGGGTAATTTTTAGCGCCAAATGCGTGTTTGGTTACTCTGTGTAATTGCAAAAGCATAGAGTGGGTAGTGTTGAATTAAAGTATCTGTTCTGTTATGTCCTGATGAATCAGATCAGTTAAAGATTCAAAGGGATTGACAAAATTGATCACTGTACGTGCATCAGTCTTGATGCTAGAAGTACAAACCCTGTGAGTAGAACTTCAGAAAAAGAATTGGAGGCAAACACAGCCCATAAACAAGATATCCAGAAAATAGATTTTCCTATTGGCTATGTTATATCCAATGAACAATAAATTCTTTTTTCTTCCGGGAATATTAAGCATGGTATAAAATAGAAAGTAGTACTGAATGATTTGATAAATGTGAAGAAAATACCTATTGAGAAAAGTATATAATGAAGAGTGTTATACTAGGCTACTTTTTTAATAGTCTATCACCAACAGGACATATATATACACACACACTAAGGCAGTATCATGTATCATGTATTTGCTGGTGAATTTGTATGTGTGTTTGTCTCTTTGCTTTTTTTTCCTTTTGTATGGCTTTGTTTTGTTTTGATTTTGGAAGCGAATATAGCTGGATGACTCCTGACTGTACCTGTCAATATTTAAAAGTAAACTTCTAAGCTTTTGTAAAGATAAATTCTCTGTCCTTGACATTTCCATACATTTTTCATTTAAACTTTTTTTGGGAAAAAGGATAGGAGGGAGTGACAGAAGAGAACAGAAATGGAAGGAAAAGATAAGAGAAGAAGTGGTGATATATTTCACAGAGGTTAAGTGAAAAACTAGACTTTTTTTCCTATTTCTGCCCCTAAAATGAAGCATGACTTTGACTTTGGGAAGTCAGCTAATATTTTGGGCTCCAATATGCTGAAGTCTATATCTTGAGAATCATTTATCTCTAGGCTCTAGAAATACAAAGGAGATGTAAAAATATTAAAATTCTTATTTGTAAGCAGTTTAAAATAGTCTCTCTACTGGCTGACTCTGTGGGTTTTAATTACCCTCTTCTAAGTTCTGATTCAGGAAGGTCCTGAATCACACTGCCAAGTTCAGTGAGCATTGCGTTTGATGGTGGGTCCATGCCCAGACTTAGGGGTGTTGCAGGTGAATGGCAGCCTCTCTAAGAGTAATAGGCTGGACACAGATTCTTTTAGTATTGAAAAATATTTGATAACTAGCATGTTACTATTGGAGGAAATTACAAATTACATTTGACTCTCATAATCTCTGTTCCTCTCCCCAGGATCTGCATTACCACAGCAGCTTTCTCAGTTACACCAATGGGACTGCTCTGAATTTTAAGAGATCCAAATTTGGGTGTGGATGAGTAAGCAGATGCAGTATGCACATCCTGTGCTTGTGACTTCAACAGCAGGTTGCAGAAAAAGAAGAATATCTGATCAATTGCCCTGTCCCAAACTTGCCACGGGAAATGTTGCTTCTGGTATGATGGGGCTTGACAGATCTCTATCTGATCTTTGTGTATTACTACTCAAATATCCTTGAAATTTTCAAAATACTTTTCAAAAGCTTTAAGAAACAACACAAAATGTTTGATAAAGTGACATTATTTTATAATATACAGAATAACTGAGATAGTGACATGAAACAAGAGCCTACAGTATGTTTAATTTTTTCTTGAAAATTTGATTTTTCAGATTGTAAAAATTCAACCTGTTTCCCAGGAAGAAACAGAACAAAATATTTCTTGTATTGGCTACACTGAACTTAAAAAGCAAAGCACAGTAGCGAGGGTCCATGTCCGACTTTACATTATACATTCTTCATTTTTCAGGACCTGGCTCTGTAGTTTCTTTGTATCTAGACAATCGCAGTAAATCAGCTGCTGGTTTTGTGCACCTCCCTCCATCCCCTAATTATGTGGCTGCTGCTCAGACCCTTCACATAAGCAAAAATTTTCTAAGCCTAGCTGGAGTCTTGTCTTCACACGTGGGGTGGTTCTGTCTTGTATAGTAACGCATGGAAGCATTTAGATTAGCCATTTTACCTCTGAGGAGCTCAAGCTCCCTTTACAATGTCAGCACTCATCTTCATTTTGCATCCTAGAAGTCTCAAAACACAGCAAGCCTAAGAAAATATCTTAGTATTGTCCCATGAGAATGGTAAAAACCAAAAAAGTATTTTCTTTCTACATCAAACCGTTTACTTTTTGAATTCAAAATACAAACTCTTTTTAATGACGGTGAAGGAGATGTTATAACTCAAAGCTTAACTTTCTGTAACTTGGAAGTTGATGCTATTTGTCTTTGGGCCCACCGGGAGCTAAGGAGATATCTAGTGATGTGTTTACTCATACCTCACTCCTCATGTTATTTTTCTAGCTAAATTCACAAAAGAAAATTTTCATTCAGGATATATTTATTTAAATACCAAGTAAGAAAAATATACCTTTACTACTCTTTCTGTCATGTTGACCAATGGGCTTAAAGTGGTTGGGGTAGGAGGGGCGAACCATAATTTTCTTCTTTAAATCACTGTGAAACTTCTGTAGAGTAAAGCTGAAGAGTAATTTTAATCTGAATAGCAAGGCGTATATTGAAAATGATAGTGCTTGTAGGTTTGATATACATGGATAATTTTTCTTCTAATATATATTTAGAGGCATATGATTTCTCCTACCCTCTTAGAGATCAGTGTGAACAAATTACGGGTAGAATAAGAATTTTAATGAATTCATGTTTAGCTTTGCTAAAAGCCCTACATATTTTTCCATTATTCATCTTTCCCTCTCAATCCTTTTCTATTTGGACCAAATCTTTTGTAAAGAAACTTCCTAGCATGCTCCATACATCCTGCTTAATTGTTTGATTTATTAGGTAGGATATATCTTTAAGTTGAAAGCATCCCAAACAGTGCTTACTTGGTGAGATCACTAAAGATTTGGGGATTGACATCACACATTTGATGAAAAAGTGTTCAGGCAGGGTTTTAAAAGCAAACAGTGACAACTCAGAGCCAGCACTCTTAGCACAGTTTGAACTTAGATATGTAATAACAACAGCAAAAAAAAACAGAGGTATGAAAGATTACTGGCTTTCTAAGCTGAATGAGGTAAAGTAGCATTGATGCAGTGAGGGTTGTCTGAAAGAATGGTTACAGCAAATCTGAACTTTTGGTGATCCCTCTGTGGAGAAGATATTTGATGCCTTTTTTTTAAAATCATAAATTCTAGAGAATCTACATAGATATGGCTAAACACATCTAAACTGACTGAACATATGATAACATGACAATGTATAAGCTTTATTTCCCAATGTTGACATATAAATATTTTTTTTCCAGATCACTTTCAAACAGTTGCATAGTCTATTTAAATGTGTATAATAGACTTGAAATAATCACGTTCATTCAAATATTGAGGTTGTGATTTAGCAGAAAGAAAAATGCTATTCCTGGACTTCAGTAGAAAAAAATTACAGAAAGAGGACGGCTAGTGGTGGTCAATAAATTGTAAGTGCACATTCCAGTAAAAAGTGTTTATATAATTGTTTTTTTGTAATAAAATTAATAAGAACCCTGTGGTGGTAGCTTGCAGAAGATGTCTGCTCTCTGAAAAGAGCTCTCAAAAGTAATGTTCATAAAATTTGAAGTCCTTCTTTGTAAGCTTAGGAATAATTTTCATTTGAGCAAACACATGAAAAACATTTTCATGATCTTGACTGCTTTTTCTTGTACATTTTACACAACTCTTGTTATCTGAACATCCAGTGTTTATCTTTTCTGTGCTATTTTTGCTCATTCCTACAGAGAAAAATGCTGAAGATAATCAAAATTATAAAGTGCTTTGTTTTGGGTGTCCTTTAGAGTAAACCTCCAGTAAGATCATGGTTAGTTCAGGTTGGAAAGGTACTGTTTGTCTAACAGGCTTTTGAATTAAGCTTTTAAGATGGTAAGATATTCAGGTCTATGAGGTTCTCCTCAAGGTACTGCTTCATGCAAGCATGTGATACCTCAGGCTTATACATGCATTATAGGATTCATGCATGATTTTGTAAGTGGGTCTGGGGTTGCCTTTACTATTTAACTTTATTTGAACATTCAGTCTGTATTTTGAATTTTCAAGATCAAGACAAACACAATATTAGGTATGGAAAGTTATCCTGTTATTAGTTTTACTCATATTCTGACTAAACAAAAATGTAATACAGTGTTATTGACGTGATTTGTGATGCAGATACATACTCCCCTTGTACTTACATCTTTATGTGAATATGGAAATACTGGGAAAAAAAATGCTCCTGTGTGTCCAAAGATATTTCTCTAACATACAGCAGAAAAACAACATTGAGAAGTTAATATTGTAAATGCTTTTGAAAATTGGCTTATGGCAGGAATGTTTGCTGGAAGGCTCTAAATCTCAGTCTTACTCATCAGCTTATAAAAAGTGATGGTATTTTGAAAGCCCAACTGGTGTTTAAAGATATGTAAGGGCAGAAAATCAATTTGTGAATTATGATAAGTAATGGTAAGTACCAACAGCCTGGCACTTTGTGAGAACTTCAATTTTTTTTTACCTCTGTTGACAGCATGGAAGATAATCTCAGGTTAACTCTTTTGATTCATAAGTTGATTTCCTCAAGTTAGATACCTGTAAAAGAAACAGAAAGAGCACTTAACTTTTTCCCAGTTTGCATGACTGTGAAGAATTAATCCAAACAAATAGATCAGTGTTACATTCCTATTACAATGAACGTAGTTAATGAATATGATAATAAGCTGAAGCACATCTAATCAAACTGAAATAAAATTATTGTTACTAAATGATAGTGTTTATAACCAATTTTTGTGTGAGATGACATCAAATATTAATTTAACGTAAAATGTGGGCAGAGTTTCTCTTGGACCAAGGTCAAAGATGAAGGTTTTCTGTTTTATTATTCACTGCCACAGGAAGAATGTCACAATTCAATCTTTTGTTTTATTGATGGTTGGAAATCAATTAGCCCTTGTCATGTTTGAGGGAAGATGAAACACTATTTTTTTTATCTCTCTGTTCATATTTCTTGCAACTAAAAGCATGAAATAGGATTCTGCAAGCCTCCATGGATATCTTCTGTAAGACTGCTGTCATGGTTCTAGTATGGCTTTCTACAATTTCAGCTGCTCGTTTACTCTGTCAGTTATAGTTAAAATTACTGTTTATATGTTTTCCTATTCTAGGTGATCTGTATGTTTGAATATGTATTATATATTTGCTTTTGATACGGTTCTCTCTTGAAAAATCCACCATTTTGTTGGAAAAACAGACATTCAAATCCCCTTATAATTCTGCTCTGGAGGTAAAAATCTTTTCTCCATCTCCAGTATCTTTGTTCTGAAAACAGGACCAACCTTAATATTGTTACTGGTGCACAAGAGACAGCAATTGTTGATAGTTTAAGGAGTGCTGCTGAGGTTCAGCATAGTTGAATAATGGGGATTTATGGTAGCTCTGATACTAGTAAGCACTTGTTCTACAGTACAATAAATTTAGGGTTAGTCAGTCTGTTCCCTGTGGTATAAAAGTTTTAGCTAATTGCATGTGTTTAATTTTTCCACTGATGGTTATTATTAATAATAAATAAACTCTACAGTTTGGACATTATTGCCACGTAATATTTTACATAGCTATATTAATACCATCCTATGATAATTCTGTACCACTGCCAGCCAAGATACTAAAATGTTTTAGTGATATGAGTGTCACAAAACCTCATTAAAATGTTTGTATGCAAACGCACATTTTACATACAGAAAGGGAAACCACAGAACTCTGTTTAAGTATGAACTCGGTCCCCTGGTGCCTAACATGTTTGTGTGTGGTGGGGCTTTCTTTGTTGTTGTTTGTTTGTTTGTTTTGGTGGCTATTTTTGTTCCTGTTCTGTTTTTCTTTATCTGCTGTTTCATCTTTAATGTCATTTGTTATAATTGGACACTTTAGTTATCACAGTGGCAATTCATTTCAGGACGCTGCTACACTAAGTGATTACTCTAAAATCCGGTACATCCAATGGAAGAGAGTATGGGCACAAGGGTTCAATAGTGCAGAAAGAACAGGTGAAGGACATTCGTGGATGCACAATATTAAGTAGTAATGTTGAATCAAAGGGGAGGTCGTATTTAATTACTTTTTTGGTGGCCACATTGTCTTAGAATGACCAATACAACAATGCTGACAGGCAAGGGAGGAACAGCACTGTCAAAGGTAGCAGCTCTGTCCGTGCAGACTTGCTTCTGACTGCAGTGCTGACCT